TCTGACGCTTGACTAACAGTGCATGTGGCACAGTCGCTGAGACTTGCAGAGGCAGCGCTGCCTTCGCGATAATTGCATTGCATTGCCTTTGGAAAGGATAGCCAACCCGATTCCGGAAGCAGCGTGGGTTGCGACATACTTCGGAGTCACTTCGATCTGGGATATTGATGACGCCGCTGGTCCATAAAGCAGAAATTTTTGGGTGAGATGCTCATTTTGTGGGATTGGTGCTTAGAGTTGTAACATGCAGAAGCCGTGCAAGCAGAAAGTCGCCTTTGTGCGTGCTCGAAAGAGGGCCGAACATGTCGTTACAGGATGTTACAGGACACTGCTAGCAACTGCAAGTGCATGCTAATGCACTCCGTCCTCAGACAACATTCGCGAATGTTAATAATGCTTTTGGAATTCGCATGTAAGACTAAGAGGCTATGGAAGGAGTGGTACTGCAATAGACCAACTTCAGGCAGAGCAGTAGAAGTCCAGTTTGCTGTCGTCTGTGTGAATCCCTCAGATGGCCACTTCATTTCCATGCTCACTGTCAGAGTCTGCCCTAGTAACTGGCAGGGCTCAGTGCTGACGCTCTTGCTTATCACGCCTGTCGTCGTGGCCTTGTCGCGGGTGGGGTGGCGGGGCCTGCTTGCATATGCTTGCATGAAAGCGTAAGTCAAAAGGGCTCGATTGATGGGCAATGCCTAAGGTCTACAACTTGATCGAGCTGATTTTGCTGCTTGGCGTCATTTTCGTCCATGTCAGAACCGCTGCTGTGTGTTCTCAGAACATGCCTTCTCCGAGGTTGTTTGCCAACATTGCTTTGAAATGGATCATCATCGGCAAGTACGTTGCAACCTGGCGTAGTAAGCTACAGCGGGCTAGGCCTATCCTGCAAGAACTAGATGCCTCTATGCAAGGCGGTATTGCCCATATGTTTCAAGAATGCGGGTTGTTGGCACATAGTGTAGGCCAGGGCCCGGACCGGCAAGCGGCAGCTAGAAGACGGCATTGCCGTAGATTAGAGATGTTGGAAGGCTACAGTAGGCGCGAAAGCGTTTCAGTTCTTGCCGCGTCTGTTTCAAGACTTCATGCATGGTTTTAGATCAAGCAGGATTCATCTTATGGCAACCGTATCTGCCAGGCTGGAGAGTACAAGTTTTTTGGATCTTATCACGTTCCCGAGCTGCAATGAGACTGCAGAACAGATGGGCCATTTGTGACAAAGTGGTGCGGGCTTATGCAGACTGGCAAAGCTGAGATGCGGTGGATGGTCATGATGATTTGCGGATCAGGTGGGGTCTGGTGCGAGCTTTTTCCTGTTCTCAAGAACCCTTTCGTGCGGCAGGAATTTCTGCACTTCAGGATTGCCTCCACGGTACCGTGTTTGAGGCCATTTAGGCAATCTAAAGCACTCACAGATTGCTGATGAGTTTGGGCTGCAAAGGGTTCACTAG